CAGACAATACCAGTCGGAGTGCAAACAGCACTGTTGACAAGCTGAATTGGGGGAAAAGTCCAAGGTTGAACCTTCTGAGAATGTTGCAAGACATCAGAAATCATATTTGTACGAACTGCCGAAAGTGAGGTGCCTGTGTCCAGCGCTGCGTCAATGGCCTTGTGACAGAAATTGACTTTAACAATAAACGATGTGTTCCAAAATGAAGGAGAAGAATGGTCCTCCACATGTCCAAGGACAAGCGACTCAGGCGGGGACACAAGATAAGGGTGAGGCGCATTTATCTTCTGGAGGGAGGATTGCCTCGGTGAAACATCCTCCCTCCCCTGAAGTTTACCTTCTGCCGAACAGAATTTTGCTTCTCCATTTCTGCGTATGTTGTGGCTTTAGCCTCCTCCCTAGGGTTCTGTGGCTCAATTGAAACTGAACTTGTCTGTTTGTCAGTGGCTGGAAAATACATAGTCTGTTGCGCAAAGTTGCAGTTGGGACAGTTTCTAGATGTGAAACCAGGAGCAGAACATTTGAAACAATAAGTCCCCCGCATGTTTCTGGTTTGTTACGGCTGTCAGGACCGAGAGTGGAGTGCAGCTTGTGGGCACACATCAAGAGGTCTATGACTGAAGTAATTTGCGTGCTGTACAAAGCAACTCTGTAGCGCTCAAGAGCATGTTTGCAGATAAGATCAATCTGTTCCTGTTCTGGCGGTGGTGACTTAAGTTTCTTGAATTCAGATAACAAGGGTGCAACAAATGTTGGAAATGGTTCTCCTTGAGCTTGAACTCGGTCAAGAATACCTCTCCAGACACGCTCCTGGTTATCCAAAGGAAGAAATACAGTCTTGAACAGGGTGCAGAACTGCTTCCAAGATGTAACGTGTGAACTCAGTACTGTAAACCACTTCCTGGGATCTTTAGCTAAGAAACATGGTAATTCAAGCAAAATTTGAGCATCACTGAGACCCAAAGAAGTTCTGTAGGCATCCACAAGAAGAAGCCAGTCATCAGGTTGAACTTTTCCATCGTTCACAAACACTGGGGGTTCCAGTCTCGATTGATGCAAGACTGAAGCCAAGGTTCTGGTTGCATTGTTCAATTCAAGAGAACTTTGAGCCAGGCCAAACGCATTTTCCGTTCTGGTGTTCATTTCCCCCTCAAAGGAATTTGAGCCCGTGTTTTTAACCAGTTTATTCTTGAGCGTATGGGGTTGACGAAGCAACAGGCCTGCCTTGTAAAGGCAATTGGTATGAAGCAGGTATGTGCAAGTTTTGTGTGCAACGGTCGATAATACCTCTCTGTAGACCAAGAGACTCACTCAGGCATTTCCACAGCATTGCTACTTCATCCTTCAATGACTCAACCTGCGTCTCCAGGCATTCCGCTGATGCTGGCACTCTCCGCCTGGGTGGATACTTAAAGCATGCTAATTGGTCAGTTAAGTCAGTCTCGTCATCAACATGTCTGTTCATTGCAACAAAATCAGTTTGTGTCAGAGCAATATGAAATTCAAAACAATAAATCAGAGCAATGATATTCAACAAAAATGTTCAACTTCCATTAATTTCCTGTACGTGAGTAATATAGCAACAAATTAAATATAAACAGCTGGAAACCTTTTGAGAAAAAAACTAACCATATAATAAGAAATGTGGCATGTGCAAAAAAATTATCTTTTTTTTTTTTTTTAAACAGTGACAACAGTTCAATATCACCAAACTTCAAACAGAGTCCAATAAATTCCTTCCGAATTCTTTTCAGAGTTTTTTTTTTTCAGGTCCTTCGATAAGCACACACCATGAGAGTGTGAGGAATTATACCAACCTACAACTCAAAATGTAAAACAAGTCCAGGAAAAATCCAGCGCAAAAACAGTTCAGGAAAAATCCAGTGCAAAAACAAAAAAAAAACGTTTCTAAAGTTCAATTCAACCAGTTCAACACACGCCGTTCCAGCGAATTAACACAAATGGACGTAGAAACCAGGTCTGAATCCCTGAAACAGTCAGAGTTCACAAATAGTAAAATTCCTGATTACCTCAACGAACCACAATCCTACGCGCAAATTAAATCCACGGGAATGTGAAGAAATATCCGCTGCGTCAGCCACACAAAATGTCCGCTACAGCGTCGGGCCGTTCACGCTATACCCACTGGAATAGGCCTCGAGCAGACTCATGAATGTCGGCGAGGAAGATTACAGCATTTTCGGCGTCACTCGTCACAAACCGGTTCTGCACCCGTGCAAACCGCTCCATAAATCCAAGGCCAGAGATAAAACGTTCGGGCGCCACTTGTAACGCGGTGTGTACGGAACAAATAGGGATAGCTCACTTAGCTTGAGTTACTGATACCAGACAGACTTCACGGAGGCGATTGACATTTCACAACTGGCACTTTATTCCCCATGGAACTCATGGAACTGTCCGTCACGAACGTTGTGCCGTCCACACCGTTACTTAATAAAGAAAATAACTTTAAAGGAGCAACAGAAAAAGAGAAACAACTCGCATACATGCGGTGCTCGAATCGCACATACATTGTAGATCAACAGTTCAACCAGGAGCGCCCAGCTCTTAAAGGGACCACACCATATTTCTACTCGTTACAGGCTGTTTACCACTTTGGCTTACCGGAGTGGCAGTACCTCCAGACTTCTTGTGGTGGCGCTTCCCAGATTGCGGATGGTCAGATGAACGGAAATTGTAATTCACAGCGAAGAAGAAATACGAGCGTAATGGTAGACCAACAACAAATCAGAGATGCACCGGCGTCTTATGTTTATGGAGATGAGAACTAAAAAACTGCCCCGGAACAGCTATCAGCGTGGACTGTAGGCATCGATCACATTATCATTGCAGACCGCATATTGAGTCCGTGAGTAGCCTAACCTCTCAGCTCGGATCGCAGGTGGATTTCCCTCACTGTATGAGTGAGAGAGAGCGGTGCCGGCGCGTCCAGTTTTATGTCAATAAAACTGGATGCTGTCTCTCTCTTTAGATATTACAAGTGCGCGTTATTCAGTGTGGGCAGTGGGCACCGACCGGCAGAAACATACATCTGAACCTATGGCATGGAGTTGATAAGCAGTTGCCGTAATGCGGCGCAGAAGTGTGCAGTGTGTGTGCTTGCCGCACATCTACATTTAAAATAACGAACTTGAGCGTGCAAAAGACGCGATGTGAACGGCTCCGTTTTTATGATGAGAGGAGAGGAAAGGTTGAGAAAACACTCCAGGTAAATTTTGAAATGTACCAGATTTGTGAACAAACCAGAGGGGGGGATGTTTTGAAATTTTTTATTTTTTTTCCCCCTTGAAAATATACCACAAATCACAGATGAATATATAGATTAATTTTGCAGCTACAGAAACACTTTTACAATAAATATATTCTGATTTGATCTTGAGATTAGCTTCGATATTTGACCACTATTTATGATAATAATTGGTTACAATGACACTAATAGTTATTATTTCTGCCAGGAATGCAAAATCAATTGGGAGTTAATGATATTTTGAATAGAATAACGTGGCACAAACCTGTACGTATTCAGTTGCGTTTGCTTCCATTTAATTTTGATCAGTGCTTCGCTACAAACATAAGCCTATAAACTTTTACTCCAAAAGTGCACACATTATGTATTCACAAATTTACCTCATATTTCTTTAAATAGAATACAACCATCATTTCTTAATGACTCGCAGAAAGACGATTCTTTTCCGATCCATCAGTTAATATTGCGTGATCATAATTCCCACATCACGGTGATTGTACACTTCTGCATTCTGTCTCATAATACATTTATGCGTCAGTTTAGCCACGACTGTATGTAAAGTTAATTAATTATTAAATGAGTTCAGTTGGGCAATATAGCATTATTTACTAGTATGAACCCTTATTAACAAGCCTTTGTAAAAAATAATGGTTAGCACATTTATTTGTAAGGTAACAGCCTCCACAGCTGTGCTGAATTAAGTTTCAGTGTTTGTCATGTGACAACACTGTAGCATACTACTCTGAAACATTTTGTTGCTTATTGTATACTGTTTCACACACTATTCTTAAAAACAGTAGGCAGTATACACTGTATACTAGGCAGTAAGCAGTATGTTAGTATGCCAATTTGAGCACAGCCTTAGTAATCCTGAATACATTGATTAGCTTGTTCAGGTGTGTTTGATTAGGTTGGAGCTAAACACTGCAGGACATCGGCACTCCAGGACCGATGATGCCCATCCCTGCGGTACATAAATATGGATCGCTCTGTTGATCAAATGACTAATGACATGATGATATTATGACTAATGATATGATCTCATTGCAAAACCAATGAAGAGCTGTCATCAGACGATTGATGATCTCACTTGCAATATTTATTATTATTATCATTATTATAGCTGTATGTTTCGAGGTATTTGAAAATATCATATCACGGACCCAGAGAATTTACATCAGAATATAATCATGAAACATCTGATTTACAGTGATATTTTTGGCTGAAAGTTTGTCTCACACACCACATGAATTTACAGTGAACAACATGAACACTGACCCAAAGTCACTTGCTGAAAGTAAATCACCCATTACAGACCGAGGCCAAATGCAGCACCTGAACTGTGCCAAAATCTGCAGATTTATACTGTAACTTAAATTTATCTCTGATAATTTACACACAACTAAATGAAAGAAGAATAAACTGCATAAATCAGTGTATAGTATACCAGCGGTTCTTAATCCTGTATACAGTATGAATACAGAAACAAGCAAGAGAAACATCTGTAAAAATATATTAATTTGATAAAAAATTTAAAACTTGGCCCGCAGTATCATTTAGGATGAAGATGATAATTTGACATTCAGCTTCAGACCTTTTTTTGAAAGAGCAATGCAAGTTACATGACACCGCTTGGCCACTTCAGTCACTGTACCTCTTCATTTCTGCTCACCAGATAGTACTGAAATTTAATTGTCAAAATTCAGTCTATGTTCTCTGTTTCCACATACAGGCCTGAAATCAAATCTCTCATCTAGGAAGAAGAGAAGCAGAAGAACAGCCTGTAAAATGAGTGTGTATGAGGAGAGAGAGCAGGAGGCTCCTGTCGACACTCAGAGAGCAGCATCTCCAGGATTCAGCTGTGTGTCCATGAAGAGTAACGACTCCATGCATCTGCCCCCTGTTCTCAGTGATGTTGACACTCAAAGAGCAGCATCTCCAGGATTCAGCTGTGTGTCCAAGAAGAGTAACGACTCCATGCATCTGCCCCCTGTTCTCAGTGATGTTGACACTCAGAGAGCAGCATCTCCAGGATTCAGCTGTGTGTCCATGAAGAGTAACGACTCCATGCATCTGCCCCCTGTTCTCAGTGATGGACCTGCTGTGACCTCTGAACCTGTGTGAGTATCATGAAGTTAAATGTGAATTTTTTAAACATGATGATTTACTCACTGAGGTTATTTTCTCAAAATATGAATTATAATAATTAGGGTTGTCACGATCCCTTGAATAAATTTGAGTACTCTATTATCAAAAAAATCCTCAATTGCATTTTGGAGCAGAAGAACAGCCTGTAAAATGAGTGTGTATGAGGAGAGAGAGCAGGAGGCTCCTGTCGACACTCAGAGAGCAGCATCTCCAGGATTCAGCTGTGTGTCCATGAAGAGTAACGACTCCATGCATCTGCCCCCTGTTCTCAGTGATGTTGACACTCAGAGAGCAGCATCTCCAGGATTCAGCTGTGTGTCCATGAAGAGTAACGACTCCATGCATCTGCCCCCTGTTCTCAGTGATGTTGACACTCAGAGAGCAGCATCTCCAGGATTCAGCTGTGTGTCCATGAAGACTGACCACTCCATGCATCTGCCCCCTGTTCTCAGTGATGTTGACACTCAGAGAGCAGCATCTCCAGGATTCAGCTGTGTGTCCATGAAGAGTAACGACTCCATGCATCTGCCCCCTGTTCTCAGTAATGGACCTGCTGTGACCTCTGAACCTGTGTGAGTATCATGAAGTTAAATGTTAATTTTTTAAACATGATGATTTACTCACTGAGGTTATTTTCTCAAAATATGAATTATAATAATTAGGGTTGTCACGATCCCTTGAATAAATTTGAGTACTCTATTATCAAAAAAATCCTCAATTGCATTTTGGAGTCTGCCCTTGCTGCAGCCTGTAGCGCGATAACGTTCTTGATTAGATCCACTACGTAGTGGACGTTTTACACGCATGCGCTTTAATAGGTTCCGAATACGTCATTAAAGTATAACACACAGTGCGTGATGACCTACATTACATTACAATGTAAAAACTTTAATGTCTGAATTTATCCATGAATAGCCATATGTTTTTCTCCCTACTGGCAACTTAAAAGCTTGTATAGTTTTTTGAAATACTGAATAGCCTGCATTTTGTATTTTATTGCCAGGAGACTGCCCATATAAGTGCTGTAATATTGTAATCAGTTATTATAAGGATACAACAAGCACTGTAACATGATTGATATGCAGAAGTTGCACTGTAAATAGCTAATTATTAAAGGGATAGTTCACCCAAAAATGAAAATTACCCCATGATTTACTCACCCTCAAGGCATCCTAGGTGTATATGACTTTCTTCTTTCAGATGAATCCAATCGGAGTTATATTAAAAAATGTCCTGGCTATTCCAAGCTCTATAATGGCAGTGGGCGGATGTTTTTGTTCCAACAGTACAAAAGAAGTCCAATAAAGCCCATCCATTCGTAATAAAAAAGTGCCTCACACGGCTTTGGGGGGTGAATAAAGGCCTCCTATAGCGAATCGATACGTTTTTGTAAGAAACATATTAGGGCTGCACGATTTGGGGAAAAAATCGAATTGCGATTTTTCTGGTTAAAATTGTGATTTGTGATTTTTAAAACAAATTTACAAAAAATAACAATATAATAATTATATAAAAATTAATAAGATATTAACAATACACATTTTATTTTAAAGAAAACTATTGTCTTACAGAAAAATGCAGGGCTACTTGTTAACATACAGGCCTATATCTGTACATCATATGATACTGTTATAATAAAAATCTTTGACAGTAAGTCCATGTCCTAAATATGAAATATGAGCCTTTTATCCACTGTGGGGGGAAAAAAAATCTTCTGTATACTTCTATACACTGGAGAAAAACATGGATTGTCATATGTTTACTTAAACTTTCTTTACAGAGAAGTATTATTTTTCCTATTTATGGCCAAAAGAGGACCAAGTGCACATTACTGAGTGCTGAACTCATGTAATGTCTGTTTCATTCATACTGGACGCCAGAGATCACCCTCTCGCAGAAACTCCACATATGCATCACAGAAGTAATAGAACACATGATGCTCCAGGAAATCCCTAACATGGTCCAATAGGTATCTAGCAATTAGTAATGGGAAGTCCGGTTCTTTTCCGCGAACAGGTTCTTTCAGACAGTTCGTTTCAATGAACCGGTTCAAAAAAACGGTTCACTGAAATCCAGCTAATAAAGCTTAAAATATAACGTGCATACACAATTGTAAATAATACAATTAATTTACGTTTTGACTGAACAGTTGTTGCATGTTCATCATGTTAAAATGTTTTTTAATATAGTTGCATTTGCACTTTCCAGTAAGTTTTATCTGTTATTAAATAAACTTCATTCCATCAAATTCACCCCCTCATTCAAGCCCTCGGTTCACTCGCGCTCATAGTATATTAATATCAGCACAGCATCAGTTTTAGCTTCACGCATGTTCAGTATCTCCAGCTCATCGGTCCTCAGTATGTCGAACGTGTCCGAAAAAGAAACAGTTCTCGGTTCAGTGTACTGGTGATTTGTGAACTATTGACTTGAGAACCGCTGTACCGTTCGGTACTACACGCATGCTCAGTATCTCCAGCTCATCAGTTCTCAGTATGTCGAACATGTCTGAAATGTTGAACGTGTCCGAAAGAAACGGTTCTCAGTATGTCGAACATGTCCGAAAGAAACGGTTCTCGGTTCAGTGTACTGGTGATTTGAGAACTGTTGTCTCGAGAACTGCCGTACCGTTCGGTACTACACGCATGCTCAGTATCTCCAGCTCATTGGTTTTCAGTATGTCGAACATGTCCGAAATGTTGAACGTGTCCGAAAGAAACGGTTCTCAGTATGTCGAACGTGTCCGAAAGAAACGGTTCTCGGTTCAGTGTACTGGTGATTCGAGAACCGTTGACTCGAGACCCGCTGTAGCAGTACCGTTCGTTCGGTAGTACACGAATGCTCAGTATATCAGCTGCTCGTGCTCATCGGTTCTCTCAGTCTGCACAGCATGTTTCAGTGCTGTTGGAGTTACAGGAGTAACATATACTCCGGGATATTGGTTTATTTCGAGTCGTAGGGACTGTAAGGCATGTCTGAAAGTGAGAAACTTTAGAAAATTGTGGATCAGTGCTGACTCGAGATGCAAACTGTTTTGAACAATTCAGTCCGATTTGGTGAACTGGTTCGACCGGTTCAATAAAAAGAACCGGTTCAAAAGAACGATTCGTTCGCGAACCGGACATCACTACTAGCAATCGCTGTGACTGAATTAAAATAAGTTCGAAACGTATGAACTGATTAAACATGAAGACAATAGACGCACGACTGCGACGGTATATGGTTTATCTGTGTTCTTTAAGCCATCTCTGGTATTTTCATAATAATTAAGTATATTTATAATCCGTTGCTAATCGACATAGACTTTATTACAGTATAGAGTACATTTTCTGCCTTATTCTGTAATAAGAAGCCGCATCAGAACAGAAAATTAAGTTATTTCAAAACACTCGACTGATGTTTTGAAGTAAAATCATGTTATAATGTTCTCAACAACAGGTTTATAAATGCTTCTCATTAAGTTTGAGAGGATGTTTGTAGTGTGTTGCTTAAAGGGATAGTTCACCTAAAAATGAAAATTCTGTCATTAATTACTCACCCTCATGTCGTTCCAAACCCATAAGACCTTTGTTCATCTTCAGAACACAAAAACAAAAATAACAATTTTATTCAACAATTCTTCTCCCCGAGTTACGTCTTCCGCCATTTTAGAGAGTATCAAAATGCATACGCACACTTTCCCCCAAGCGTAAACACAACACTGATTACACAGATTATGTTCATGCGCGCGCTTTCTCCCCCGAACGTAAACAACGCTGATTACATCGATTACGCTCTTGGGTACTCTCCAAAATGGCGGAAGACGTAACTCGGGGGGAAAAGAATAGTTAAATAAATTATGTTATTTTTGTTTTCTTTGCGCTTAAAAAGTAGTTGAAAGTTGAGCCACTGATGTCACATGGACTGTTTTACCGATGTTCTTACTACGTTTCTGGACCTGGGAACATTACAGTTGCATTGCTGTCTATGCAGGGTCTGAGAGCTCTCACATTTCATCAAAAATATCTTAATTCGTGTTCCGAAGATGAACGAAGGCCTTACGGGTTTGGGCCGTTGGTCTGTTCAATTAATGACAGAATTTTAATTTAGGGGTGAACTAACCCTTTAATCAGATGTACGTTATAAGCGACTCAAACTCACAGCGCTTGCAGAGATGAGCAGCATTTACTACTGGCGCTGTGCATATATTTATTTAATAAAAAATCACAGCCTTTGTGATTCAATAATCGCATCAAGCCAATTTGTGATATCGGTTCGATTCCGATTAATCGTTCAGCCCTAAAACATATCCATATTTAAAACGTTATAACCACTTTTCTGTAGCTTGCGTTAACTGTCGTATGCAGAAGCCGTTCTGGGTGGATGACATAGGACGTCGGCGTAGTGCATGCGCCGGTGAGAATATGCTAGTCTCGTGAAAACCAATGTTTGTTTACAGGTGCAAAGGAAGCAAAGTTTCCTTACTTTAGCAAAGGAAAACCAGTCTCCTCTTGACTTATATCGAAATCCTCCTAAATTTTTCTTTACAAATCCTCATTTTGTACTTATAATTTGTGACTGGTGTTTTGTAAGTTTTTTTTATTTTATTTGTTTATTAAACAACTAGTTATTTACAAACAACATGGCAGTATCAGTACATTTTTGCATTAGAATATACAGAACAGGTGCACAAAAGAAATGCAAATATACCCATTATATACAGTGTGTATATATATATATATATATATATATATATATATATAAAAGAGGGGCTAGGGTTTTTCTTGTAAATCATATTCTTCTATAAAGGACAAAATATTTCTTGCATTTTTCTTTTTCATCAATTTGAGGGCTTTTGTATAAGATATAAACTCATTATAAAATGCACAAAACATCGGTTTTGCCTTCAAGTACTTAGATTTGTGTATTTAAAATTTACCCAGCAGAAGGATGTTATTAACCAGGAAGTCATCTTTGTTATTGTTCATTACAA